GAGGAAAAAGGAGGGAACAAGCAGGTTGTGGAGTATGTAAGGTCAGCAGAGTCAGGTTTCCTGGTTGAGCTTAAATCTGCTCTATAACTGTTAACACAACAGACTCAGGCATCCAGCTTTCTCCCACTTTTAAACACAGAGGTTACCAAAGAGGTCACGAAGGTCGATTCTCAGGGCCCAGCAGATCTCAACAATGCTATATCTGTTTTGTTTTTATTTTAATTTATTAGTGAAATATTATCATTGTCCTGACAGAGGTCATTGGCAAAAATTTGGAATGGAAGCCGCTACACTTCAGGAGTATGTGTGTTTATGCAAGTGTTCACACATTGAAGTGGTTAGGGTAGTATTTTTAAGAGGTAACCTAGACCCTTAGAGTTGAAAGTTGATACTCCTGCAGAAAGAATGGTACGGTGGTATTTACACTGACCTATACCACAGTAGGAGCTTGGAAAGGTCCTGTTTTCTTTTCAGCCATTTAGATCTTCATTTTGTCCGGCTGAACAACAGAGAGAAAAGAATCAAGATCAACCTGTGCTCAGCTGATGAGGTTAATGCATACTGTACATGGTTAATGTAAAGGGATAGTTCACATTCTGTTATTGTTTGCTCACCCTCGTGTGATGGCCCAAACCCGCAGTTGTGTTTCTTACATCGAACAGAAATATTACACACAAACAGAATATTTCTATCTACTTCAACTGCCAAAATCTACAGAACTGCCAAAATTTACAGATAACAACCAAGAGGTAAAACATAAAGACACATGATAATTGTCCGTAAAGCATGGCTATTACTGTATTTAATGATATATATTTTATTTAAATTGTTTTGTTTCTTATCTGTTATCAGTAATGTACATGCACGTTAACCTAATTTTGTTTATGTCCCTGTGCAACATCTATATATAAGTAATAGCCATGATTTACGGAAAATTGTTATGTGTTGCTCAGTCTGGAAATGTCTTTTTACTGTTTTTCACCATAAATGATATGGTCATTCATAGATTTCACCACATATGATGTATTTTACAATACAATTACATATAACGTGACGTTTAATGTTCAATAATGTGATACATATAATGAAAACATGTACTATTTTTTCGCTGAATATTGAATATTAACTTACTGTACAGTTACAGTAGCATTTTTACAGTCTTCCATAAAAATTACAAACATCTTCACATGTATGCAGACCAGGGGCTGTGCTCTATTTATACAAATACAAAGACATTTTTAGTGTTCATTTTTTTTTAAATTATTGGTTAATGTTTTATAAACCAACAATGACTAAATAATTGTGTTTTTGTTGTTGTTGTTTATTGTTAATTCAGCTATTGCTCCAATGCTAACAATTCTTTTGCAAAATGTTAAATGTTTGTTAATATTACTGTTACATTTTATTTTATATTGATTGTATTGGTGTATAATTGGCACAACTACATATAATTTTACATGAATTAATTTAAGAAATATTTTGAGACACTAAATGTATCTTTTCTTTTCTTCTTTTTATTTTATTTTCTAGTTTTTTTTTTTTTATCAGAGATATTTAACCAAAAAATAGCTCCAATCAACCATTGGCTCCCCTATGTGGCTTCATGTTTTGTTTGCATTTTTTGGATGATATTATTGTCACGCTCGCCAGAGTAATGTCCTGCATCACTACTTCAATCAAGGACTGTATATAAACTCATCCTCAAATCACCCCTATTGTCTTGTCTCGTCAGAGTATGACCCGCATGCTTCGCATGCAATCCTTTTCTTCTTTTAAGAGATCGGCAAGGAAAGATTATTATTAGAGGAGTTGTTCATAGCTTAATGTTACTGTGATCTACTCTCCTTCTTCATCAACAACCTTTGAATGTATTACATCTGATTCTAATAAAGCGCATTTACTGCAACTGGCCTTGCTTATCGCATTATGAAGTTATTGTGAAGTTTATGACCTAAAAAAAAGAAAGACAGAGAGTTCCTTTCATTGTCTTTTTTAAATCCATTTTAAACATGTAATTTACAGTACACAAATGCAAATCAATCTAAATGTCAACCTCTTCTGGAACATCCTATTGGCTAAATCTGTTTGTCTTAAAAGTAAACCCTCAGTCTCCTTTTTTCTCAAAGCTTTCATCGGATTTAGCGTCTGTTTATTTTCGCCTGCTCTTAAATCTGGCGTCTCATCGAATTTATCCCATAATTACAGCTGAGCGTAAGTTCCAAAACCCATCACCACTCTAACAAAGTTTTATTCTCGTTCCTGCAAACAACCATAATTACAACATTGCCATTCAAGCAGAATTTGGCTATTGATAATGCATGCATGTAACCCTGTGTAATTAAAACTCAGGAAGAGGCCGAGCGAAAACAGCAAAGCAGCCTGAATGAAAGTGTGGCCTGACCTGCTGAACCCTCTGCATTGGTCTGGTCCTGTAGAAGTGCACAGTAAGTCACAGACAGTGTCGGCTGTCCCCAAAGAGAAGGCTTGACTTTGGTACAGCCATGTCATTTTGTGATGCTTGGCTCCATGCCTGAAGTCGGCAGCTGCCATAAATAAACAGTGTTGAGAGCCACTGGCTTACACCCAACCACGTCTACAGTAGAGGGGAGTAGAAAGACTGCTGCACAGAATCTGGCTCAGTGACCCTCTCCTTAACCCTGCAAGTGCTCAACCAAAATGGCTGAGAAATGTGTGTATATACAGTGGCGAGAACAAGTAATTGATACCCTGTAGATTTTGCAGGTTTTCCAACTTACAAAGCATGTAGAAGTCTGTAATTTGTATCATAGGTAGCCTATCTTCAACTGTGAATGACGGGATCTAAAAAAAATCAAGAAAATCACATTGTATGTTTTTTGAGTACTTAATTAGCATTGTATTGCATGACATAAGTATTTGATACATCAGAAAAGCAGACCTTTGGTAAAGAAACCTTTATTTGCAGTTACAGAGATCGTACATTTCCAGTAGTTCTTGACCAGGTTTGCTCACACACTGCAGCAGGGATTTTGGCCCACTCCTCCAGACCCTCTCCAGATTCTTCAGGTTTCGGGGCTGTCGCTGGGCAATACGGACTATCAGCTCACTCCAAAGATTTTCTATTGGGTTCAGGTCTGGTGACTGGCTAGGCCACTCCAGGACCTTGAGATGCTTCTTACAGAGCCACTCCATAGTTGCCTTGGCTGTGTGTTTCGGGTCGTTGTCATGCTGGAAGACCCAACCACGACCCATTATCAATGCTCTTACTGAGGGAAGGAGGTTATTGGGATCATCTATCGCGAGATCTTGGCCATCCATCCTCACCACAATACGGTGCAGTCGTCTTGTCCCTGCCCTGTCCCCCTCACAGTTGGGATGGTGTTCTTGGGGTTGTACTCATCCTTCTTCCTCTTCTAGAATATTCTAGAATGATATTTTAATAAGCTTGTATATTTATGTTCAGTAATTTCACTTAAATGACAATAAAAGTTACCTATTAATTGTATACAGTATATACAGTATGTATATGTGTGTACATGCATGCAAAGTTTCAACACACTGATTTGTTTTTTGACATGTACACACTACACACATAATTACTATTATGCTTGTAATGTTGCAGCTTCATGGGTCAATTCCACCCATATATTTTAATGTTCTAAGGCAACTGTACAGACCCAAAATAATAAAATTTCTTGGGATTTCTCCTTTTGTAAAATATATATTTTACAAAACATGTTCAACTCTAAAACTTCAAGGCTATCAAAGCATTTGAACAAGTTCCGGGTCGAATTTTAGGTTGATATCTCAATAAATGACCTTTCAGTAATTTTTTTTAGGTGAAGTACCAAACTTTTCCAGACACCATTGGTGACCATATAAGTACTCTTCCATTTCCAAATATAATTTTCTAAACATTTATGAAGTTGGCATTCTATTTAGAAGTAGTTTTGGCAGTAATGTTAATGTTTTATATAAATTTAACCTCTAAAACCCACATAAACAAAAATAAAACTACAAATGGACAATCATGCTATGTATGCTCCAGCATTTCTTTTGAAAATCAGTTACCAAATATGAAATTTAGAGTCTGAAAGCTTTCAATTGATATGTAGTTTGTCAAGATTACTATATAGTTTAAAATACCCAGAAATCGACCTTATCCAACATTAATTTTCTCACTCATTAAGAAAGACACACCCAGGCCAAGCACAAAGACACATCACAAACACACAGTGTTACCTGAACCTCCTTTAAGCATTGAGGGATCTTCAGTAAAAGACACATGATATTTGTCTTTAGTTGTGAATGTGAGTGCCATATTTATTGGATGTGATGCAATTGCGTACTGTGCCAAAATGGTAGCAAATTTACTGAGATGACCTTGCGGGCTCCACGCAAAACACATACAGTGTGGTCAGTGTTCTCCGATTCATGAACAAATTATTCTTATGAGCTGGTGTTTTTTAGTGAATCAAAAACATAGCTGGACAAGAGTAGTCCGATTCCTGAACGAATGACTCTTATGAGTTGGTTCTTTTATGAATAGTTCAAAAAGACGAATTGTCTGCTTGAATCAGTCAAACAAATCCTTGAATTAACATCTGACTCAATTAATGAACTACGCTATTATTATTTTTAGTGATGTCTGCTTCGAAAATATTATACACATTACCATTCCAAAGAATGTGCTCAGTAAGATTGTTTTTTTTAAAGTACCAAAAATACAGATTTGATCTTTGGAACATTATATATACACAAATAAATGCAAAAACATAATTCTGTAGGGATTACTGCAGGAAATTCTCAAATACTCTCTTTGCTCAATAAGAGAAAGATGATGGATTAAGTAGGCTGTTTATAAACACCTACAAATACATCTGTGCACATTTATACACAGAGATCCAATGTAATCTGGCCACATCCGCTAGAGAATTAAGTAATTTGTTCAAGGAAAGCAGAAAACAGACGTCATGAGAGTTGCACAAGAATGCAGGGGGAAAAAAAAAAACCAAGCAGACCATGGGAGAAACCTGTGCTTTATTTGTTTTTTTGTTTTTTGTTTTTTGTTTTCAAAAAATTCAGTATGTTATAGGCTTCATCTGAGTGGTTGAGAGACCTTGATTTAAAAGTTTACCAAAATAGTCAACCATTCAACAACCATTCAAAAATACATTGCAAATTTTATAGCAACATTTTTAATTGTCAGCAAAGGTGTTTTTAGTGTGGTAAGGTGATGTAAATGGTCACACTGCTATATAATAGTGTTGATCGATATACTCAAAGCGTTAAAACTGTTACCTTCATGCAGTTTTTATAATATGGTTGCATAAATGTGTGTATGTATGCAGCGTATTCAAAAAACATAACAATATAAAAATGTTTTCGTTCCTTTTTGCTGGATATTTTATATTTTAAAATGATTACAAATTATTTGTAAACATAGAAATAACTGCAAAATATGAGAAAATGGCAGTCCATGCTCACTTACAGACAGATTAAAACAATAATTTGTAAACTGGTAAACTAATAAAAAAATGTCATATGTTTTCTGTGAGTGCTATTAAATGCTCTTGTGGTGACGTTCATGTGGTCATGTGTCGATAAGAACAATAAGCGATAAATGCAGTTTAGAAGTTTTCAAACTGACAATCAAAGTCTGTCATTCGGCACAAGATGTACTTCCACTGCCGATCCCTGCAAACCATTGGAAAAAATAAAATGCATTAACAACCAATAAATGATGGATTCATCTGGTATAAAATGGATGTTTTTTATCCAGCTCCAGCTCCAAGTGCAAAATACAATCATGTGTTCACAAACCTCAGTACACCACTGAAAGTAGTTTGAGCCCCCCTTATGAAGTAGCCGTAACTGGGAATTACCATCTCTCCCTCTTCTCTGTGGTACTCTGGAACATCAGACGTCTTCCTGTGCATAAACCATGAAAATGCAAATAAAAGGAAGGTTATAAAAGACAATTTAGACTAATTACCAAAGAACACATAATCTTAATATCAATGTGCGTAGTATAGCGCCGTTTTGTCATATAGCGTTCTATATGACGTTAAAGGATGAGAATGCGTTGGAATAAACTAAGGTGTGTACGTGTAGAGTTATTTTAGTAACCATGATTTTGCCTGTTCTGTAAAGCATGTTCTGGATCAACATATTTTGTTGATCCTGGAACAATCTGTCTGAAAATTGAGTCTTGGACGTCAAATAACTGACGTCTTGGGACGTCTTGTGACCATACGTCAACATCCGCCTTAAAGGGTACCCTTAAACGTCGGTTAGATGACGTTATCGAATCCTAACCCTACCCCAGACCTAAACCTATACCCCTAAACCTACCCCTAAACCTAACCGACATTAAAGGTAAAGCGTCAGATGTATGACGGCCCGGGATCGTCATGTAACCGACGTTTATGGGTACCCTAAAAAGGCAGATGTTGACGTATGGTCAAAAGACGTCCCAAGACGTCAGTTATATGACTTCTTGGGATGAGACTGTGTTACAGCATCTTATCCCTACCCCTAAACCTAACCATACCCATAACTTATCCCTACAACCAGAGGGAAATGATTGGTGAATAACACTGATGTAGAACAATCTGGTTGTAAGCCTAAACTTGACACAAACTGTAAAAAAAAAAAAATCTGATTGGTTGACTAGAAAGTTGTTCCAACAGGGATTTGATCCAGGAACATGCTGTATTTGGTGAAATCACATTTACCTTACTTATATGATCAGATCACCATTTGAATTAGATCACTCACCAGCAGGAATACGGGCATCTGCGGGCATATCGACAGCAGTAGAACTGCCATTCTCGATCCAGAACTGCTTCAAAGTACTGACTTTGAATGCCAGCAACAAGCCCATTGTTAGTGCAAACTGAGGACCTGTAGACAATACAAATATGGCTTTTACTGTGTATAAAGAGAAAAGGCAGAACAATATACATTTTTGATCCTTTTAAAATAAATCTTTGGAATACTTGTGTATTCCGTGGATTCAAATAAACTGTCTCACATGTGGCATGTGGTCTTGTGAGGTGTGCCTGCTGTTATATTGACCTTGTATTGTGTGCATCTTCCTGTTTATACCAAAGGGCTGACTAAAACAGCAAGAGCAACATGTGCCTGATAAACATGCATGTAGTTATGCCTTTTGTCTCCATTTGTTCCATTTTGCCATTGCAGGGTTTTTAAATGAGGATCTTAAAATGAATCTTTAGAATTTACCATATCTTGAAATTAATGAAATGAAATTAATGAAAAATCCCATTAGTGATCAACACACTCCTCATACATTGCATCAAATCGTTAGAGTGAATGACTTAATGACTCATTCATAGAAACAATTCACTTGTTTCATTCCAGAAAGAATCAGCATTGTTGATTGTCACTCAGCTGAATCACCCATCCATCGATTTTCCAACTCACTGGTCCAATGTGGCTACCAGGTAAAAATTCCTTTTTAATTGATTATTAAATTGTTTAATTAAGGTTTAAACATGCGTTTCAGTGACAGTTTAAGATGAATATTTTCATTACTACTGGATTTGAAATGATTATTAAACAGCAAGCTCAAATGCAAAAGTGGGATTTCTTACATACATACTGTTTTATACTATATTACCATATTACATACTACTCAAGAGAGTATGTGATTTTGAACGTAGCCCCAGTCTATCGGGGTCCTATATCAGCACTTATTAATTGTTCGTGAATCTACTGTGTCCTTCTTATCTCGTGTCATTGTTATTGTGTGTTCTGTGCGTGGTCACTGATCACTATGATCAGTGGCGCCAGCTGCACATCATCTGCATCTGATCAGCAGTGCCTATATACTCAATGTTTGCGTCTTTGTCGGATTGTTGTGATATGTTCCGGTGTTGTTCCTGTTGTTTGTTGGATTGTTCGTCGTTTTTTCCCACCTGTTTCATCATCTGCATTCTCTGGATCTGGATTCGTCTCATCATCACTCATCACCTTCAGTCCGGTTCCATCGAAGTCCCTGCGTCACTTGTCTGTCCCTGTGTTTGTCATTCTTGGTGTGGACCTGACCTGGATTGTTTATTATTTAATAAACGGGATTATACCTGCTCTTGCCTTCTCTCTATTTCGACAGAATGATCTGGCCAGTATGGATGCAGCAGGTCTCAATGATTTCATCCCACGCTGCATCAGTCGAATAGATTCGCAGGAGGAATGCATCGCGAACAAAGGGTGGCAGTGGGGGGAAAGGCGGTGTGGGAGAACCAGGCACTCGCCGAAGAAATTAAGCGAGTATTCAATTCATGTGTGGCCCCTCAACTAAAGTGGTGATTAGGTCCTTTAAAACACTGATGAACAATGTGATATTAATGGTGGCATAATAACTGTTAACAAAGAAAACATCATACTCATACGTAATAAATCATAATTCATGATGATGTGCCCATCTTAGTTAATGTTTTAATCAATTGTTCATCCATGAAGTCATGAATAAAAAACGTTGAACTTGTGTTAGTTTGAAGAAATTAAGCGAGTATTGGATCGGTCGATGGCGGGATGTGAGGCGGCCAGAGTTGTTGCCAATTTGCACCATGGGGATCGATCAGTTTCAAACTATTCCATGCACGCACGTCTTGCCAGGATAGAACATTGTGTTCTTCCAGTCTTTTTTCCAGGAGGCACAGGGGATCCCAAAACCAGCGGCAGCCAGGGACACGGTCAGCCCTGTATTCGGTCACGAGCCCATGCAGATGGGTAGGGCTCGGCTTTCCTGGGAGGAGCAGGAGAGGTGGAGATCCTTCAGACTCTGCCTTTACTGTGGGGAGGGGGCCTTTTCCTACACCCATGTTCAAACCCATGACATTCACCATCATTCTGAAACTTTGTCATTTCTTCTCTTGGACTCACCTTTTGGCACCCGTAGTCCTTGGTCATTCCTGGCTCACTTTACATAATCCCAGAGTAGACTGGCGCCAACACTCCATCACCGAGTGGAGCACTCAGTGTTATAAGTCTTTTCTTACTGTCTGTTCTTGTTTCTGTGTTTCAGGAGGAGACAGTTGATTTACTTAACGTGCCGGTTGAATACCTGGACCTGAAGGAAGTGTTCAGTAAGTCCCGCGCTGCTTCTCTCCCTCCGCACCTTCCCTACAACTGCGCTATAGATTTACTGGCAGGTAAGTCTATGCCTAAGGGCAAACTTTATTCGCTTTCTGTACCAGAAAGGGAGGCTATGGAGAAATACATTTCTGATTTTCTAGCTTCCAAATTCATCCAGACTTCCTCTTCACCTGCGGGGGTGGGGTTCTTTTTTGTGGGCAAGAAGGATGGTTCTCTACGACCATGCATTGATTACCGGGGGTTGAACAACATCGCAGTAAAGAATATTTATCGTTTGCTGTTGATTTCTGCCGCCTTCGAGGGGTTACAGGAAACATCAGTCTGCACAAAACTGGATTTTCGTAATGCCTATTATTTGGTTCGCATTAGGGAGGGGGATGAATGGAAAACCACTTTTAACACCCCCAGGGGGCACTTTGAATATTTGGTTATGCAGTTTGGGCTGTCCAACTCCCCAGCGGTTTTCCAGGCACTCATCAACGACGTGCTGAGAGATATGGTAGATCAGTTACATGTCTACCTGGATGACATATTGACTTTTTTCATCTTCTCTCCAGGAACACATGGACTTTTGTCAAGGCGGAGACATGCGATTTTCATGCACAGTCTGTTTCTAGGATATATCGCCTCGAATTAGGGAGTGCATATGGATCCTGATAAGGTTAAGGCTATGGTAGAGTGGCCAAGTCTAGATTCCCATAAAGCCCTACAGAGGTTTCTGGGGTTTGCCAACTTCTACTGGCGTTTCATTAGCAATTTCCGCCAACTAGCTGCTCCTCTGACTACCTTGACCTCCCCCAAAACTACTATTCACCAAACTGAAAAGTCGCTTCTTTTTGTCTCCCATCTTGATATACATTTTATCGTCTGGACCGATCACAAGAATTTAGAATACATCAGCACTGCCAAAAGACTCAACTCCAGGCAGGCTCGATGGGCTCTTTTTTTCAGTAGTTTTGATTTTTCTCAGTCGTTCTTCCCGTGTTCCAAAAACATCAAACCTGATTCTTTATCTCAGTTTTTGACCATTCCAAACTTGTGCATTTTACCAGAGAACCTATTCATCTCTACACATGGGAGATCGAGTCGAAGGTCAAAACGACCTTAAGAAGGGGTAACGCCTCTGCCCAGTAGCCCACCGAATCGATTATTTGTGCTGGAGGGATTGCGGTCAGACATTATTCGATGGGGGCTTTGTTCTAACGTGTCTTGTCATCCAGGGGTTAATCACACCAGTTTTTTGATTAGGCAACGATTCTGGTGGCCATTAATGGCTCGCGACATTTGCACTTTTGTCTTGGCTTGCTCAGTTTGTGCCACTGGTAAGACTCCCAATCAACCTCCAGATGGGTTACTCCAACCGCTGTCTGTCCCTTCGAGACCCTGGTACCACATTGCGCTAAATTTTATCACCGCCGACCTACCTTCCCAGGGCAAGATGGTCGTTTTGACCATAGTGGACCAGTTTTCAAAGGGGGCTCATTGATGTGGTCTCCGACAGGAGAATTTTGGCGAGAATTTTTTTTAATTACTGGGAGCGACTGTCAGTCTATCCTCTGGGTTTCATCCCCAGAGCAATGGCCAAACCGAGAGAGCCAACCAGGATGTGGAAAGAACGTTGCGATGTTTGGTATCCAAGAATCCTTCCTCGTGGAGTCAGCAGATCTCAATGGTTGAGTACGCTCATAACTCACTACCAGTGTCATCCACGGGCCATCCATCTCCGTTTGAGGGTAGTTTAGGTTACCAGCCACCAAATTTTCCTAGTCTGGAATCTGAAGTCGCGGTCCCCTCCGCTCGCGCCTTCGTCCAGAGGTTCCACCGCACTTGGACCAGAGCCCAAGAGACTCTGCTCCAGGTGGGGGTGTGCACCAAGGCTAAGGCCAATCGCCAACGGTCAAGGCCTCCCATACAGTATATGTTGTTGGTCAAAAAAGTGTGGCTTTCAACCAAGAACATTCCACTCCACTCCGTTTCTAATAAATTAGCTTCTAAATTTATCGTCCCACTTACTGTCTCCAAGGTCATTAGTACGACTGAAACTTCCTCCTGTGTACAGGATAATTCATCCCGCCTTTCATGTGTCTAAATTAAAACCAGTGCTTCATTCTCACTTTAATCCGCATACCCCGGTTCCTTCCCTGCTGCGACTCGTGGATAGGGAACCTACATATTCGGTTAATCACATTCTGGACTCTAGGTGGGGGGAATGTGGATACCAGTATCTGGTGGACTGGGAGGGTTACGGTCCAGAGAAGAGAAGTTAGGGTACCTGCTAGGGACATCCTGGACCACTCCCTTATCGATGATTACAGTCGACTGGTGAGGACGTCTGGTAACGCCAGGAGGCATTCCTAGGAGGGAGCGTACTGTCACGGTTCATGAATCTACAGTGTCCTTCTTATCTCGTTTCATTGTTATTGTGTGTGTGTGTGGGCGTAGTCACTGATCAGTACCGCGCTGGTCAGGTGGAACCGAGGATTGAACCACCAACCTTACGGTTTGTAGACAACCCACATGAACCACTGAGCCACTGCCGCCCCGTGATTATATACCTGATTATACGTGATTATACCTGCTCTTGCCTTCTCTATTTCTCCGCGTGCCGTAATACTCTCGTCTAATCTTATTCAAGGACCGTAACTAACCATTTTATAACTTTTCATGCATCAGCCATCATATTGCAGCCCGTTCTCATCCTTTAGCGTCATATGTGACGCTTTATGACAAAACGGCGAAATACTACGCACATGGCACCCTTTATCGTTAATATAACACGCGAACCCAAGGCGTCATAAATCCTTTAGCGTAATATGAGACTACTCTACCCTACCCCACACCTAAACCAACCCATCACAGCGTGTGTTATATTAACGATTACGGGTGCCATGTGCGTAGTATTTGGCCGTTTTGTCATATGACGCTAAAGGATGAGAATGCGGTGCATATTGCTATAGCACTTTTAACCTTTGTAATTAAACTTCCACATGTATGATACCCTTTGAGTATTGACTATATGAATAGCAAATTGAATAGCACATTTTTGTTTGTTACAGTAGATGATTACCTGTCATGGCTAGTGAGTGAGCTAAAGGAGTTTTTACATATAATTACAAGCAATTCTAAATTGATTTAACCAATCAATAATTAGAAGACTTAAGTTGATTTTCGTTCAAGTTTGTTAACTCAGCAAACGTCACCCCTGAAGAGACAGCAAGATTTTAAGGTTGAAAATACAGGTTTGTAAATACTACTTGTTTGTGGTCCATAAAAACTGTTGTCATCACAACAGGGACACAATCATGAGCTCTGCACTGTTTCCCAGCCACCAGCAGTGCCAGACTTTTGTCATAGCAACACTAACGCAATGGGCAACCGTTCCACCAATAAGAAGTAGGCCAGAGCATTCTCCCTGTAGAATGTCATCTACGCCTTAGTGCAAATCAGATGTGAAGAGGGAGAAAGGAAAGAAGATACTCTTAAAGGGCAGTCCTTGATTTAGAGGGATACAGTATATCCAAATGATGTAATGTAAACAACTGATTCTCCATTCAGACAAATGTCTAAGTTACAGGGTAATGCCTGCTAAAACTTTGTATATAGCAAAAATAAATATTTTATTTAATTAATTTATATTTTGTAAACTGTGCAGCATATATACTGTATATACTGTATATATATTGTCAAAATGGACTTTTTTATATATATTTTGGGCAACATAAATATATTTATATATTTTTAACTGTAAACTATATTTAAAATAGCCAAAAGATATCAATAAATATAGGTAGCCTAACTAAAGCTTATTGAAAGTAAATGCATGTAAACATATTTTATCTTTATCACTAATATATTATGGGCATGGCTAGCAGTCCAAAACTTGTGAAATTTATCTAAAGAGCATAAGACTGCCTAATACGATTTCTTGATTGTAAATTCCCAGCATGCAGTAAGACTGGCAGACAGTATTCCCTCACAAAATGCTAGCAGTGAGCAGCAGACACACTGCTGAGGGAGCTGAGGTCACTGGCACTGGCTCTAAGGAAATCTCACAAGGTGGATCAGGGAAAAATACTGATTAATTAACCTACTGGAAAAAATTATCCCATTGCTTTTGGAGTAGGGAGAGAGAACTTGGAACACTGAATGGCCCTTGGCACTGTTTGCCCTCACAGACTGATCGCAGTAACCACACTTTTATAACAAGCTGGAGAACTGGTAAAATAAGGTCACCTTTGTTATGAGAATCACATGGATTGTAAGTAGTAAGGGTCTTTCTAGCCATGATATGAAGTTAGGTACTGTGAAATTTATGGTGTTACACCATACATCACATAATTAGAACAAAATAGAGAAAGAAATAAAGCAACCATCTCACATCAAGACATTATGCTTATTGTATTAGAGGGGAAAACATGAGAGGGCTCTGAATCATTTTTCTGGGCAAACATTCACGTTCCTTTGGCCAACCAGAGTCTAGATGCAGGAAAGACTATTGGCATTGTCAAACATATGAGTCAGCTTTAGACAAAAATATCTTTTCTTAATAGTTATTGTACCAAAGCAGCATGTCAAAGGTGTGTGACAAGGAAAGTAGTCACTATAATGTTTAAACTACTGCACAACATGCTGTTGTTTGTGTTTACCTTCTGTTTGAGCTTTATGTTTTTAAATCAAGGCAGCAGCTATTAAATATCAAAATATCCATTCAGTGTCCTGGCATTGCAGCACAGTGAGTACAGAATGAGCTTATTATATCAGGAAAAGTTAAATCCTAAATCTGTTCAAAACAACAAAGCTACTGTTCAGTACCATTCAAGCAACAGGGTGAAATAATTGGTCACTTCAACCCGAGAAGTAAACGAGAGAATACTGCATCGGGCATTTCGTTGCTGTAATCGACGGTCAGAACTGCACGTACTACGAGAGACCGTGATGTTGTAATGTTTGCGATATCCTGAATATTATTTTGACGTCAATGTGACAGCTGTCTAGCTTTAATGGCAAGCCCTGTTTATGTGACAAGAACATCAAAATTACAGTTTATCATCGCAATTACTTTTTATTATGGCTGTGCTCATGTGCGTTTAGTCTAATTTCTCCATTTCAAGTGTTTGTGCTTCCTGGATGAAAGCTGGCTTGAAGACATTTTGTTGTTTCATTTATATGATCAAGTTAAATGACAATTCAACATTCATATTCCTTTGGAATGCTTTTGTGTCTGTCTGTATAGTTTATCCCAGAAAGGTGTCAGATATTGGCTCTATAATTGAGATAGCGTGTTTGGACCACACGAAAAGAGAAGAAGAAATAATAACATGCCAGATCTGGATGAGTCCAAGATGTTTTGCTGTGATGGGAACAGGAAACCCAACTTACAACATTTAATACAACATATACAGTACCACAACTTAAATTTGGTGATTTTATAAATAAGATGTTAGTACTGAAGTGATTCCTAAATGTGCATTCAAACATGTATATTTGTGGCAGATTGTTATAAGTTTCATTTTGGTAGTAAACAAGGCTCTTAAACTTAAGTGTTGCCATTATATCTCTTCTGTGGCTCGTGGTTTTTTGAGAACAGCTGACCCGAGGCAAGGATTAAATGATACTTATGAAATCTGGATTTGCCCAAACATCTACTTGTCTCTTTCCAGTCCTATTTAAGAAACTTTCATTGTTTCCTCCTTGACAAACAAATTATCACGATGTTGTCAAAGCAAACACTCAACACTGAAAGCTAGCATTAGCTAGTGCTTTCAGTAAACATTCACATCTGAGTCTAATCATACACGCAAGAGAGCTCTCCACTTTACTTAGTATAAACCAAGCATACACAAAACAAAACTTTTTTAGGAGTCATCAGAAAAATATTTGCAACACAAGGAATATCTGTGTAGTGTATTTTTTTTTTCCAAATAACTGTCCAAAAACTGATTTCTCATAAATCCATCTTTCATTCATTTATGTTTACTTATACTTGAAAGTGGACACTGTGCAGAAAAAAAACTACATTAAATTAAACACATTTTAAATTTTTAAATTATATTAACTGACCACATCATTTCATTGTCTTTTCTAAATGTTATTATACACGAAACAACATATTTGAGATATCTGTGTAGCAGAATATCAAAAATGGTTACAATCAAAAACTAAAATAAACTGTTTAACTGATACACTGTTCCTTAAAGTCTTTCATTCATTTATAAGTTTTGACTGGGACAATTGAAACTGTGCAAAGTTCTAAAATAATCATTTTAATTCATAAAGATGCATTTTTGCATTATTACAGTTTTTTTTTTTTTTTTTGCAAACACGCAAAAAAAAATTCTGTTTAGTTTCATATACTTTATATATGTAACACATTTTAAAAAAGAAACTGACTGGTGAGTGTTATTAAAACATACTCACAAATGTTTGTACAATGGCATTAAAATGCATATAGAAGTACATAGACCTGTGTTTGACAGAACACTGGTATCCAAATACATATACATACCATTCCATCCCGGCTCTGTTGATATCGTCCCACCAGCATTCGCTAGGCTCTCCCCAGTCGTAGGGAGTTCTCTGGCACTCAAAGTTCCACAGGCGGTCCGAGCCTTCTTTCTCACTGAAGTAACTCTTGATTGCCACTAAGAGCTCACCATGGGGACACTGAAAGTTGAAGCCCTGGCGCCAGGTATTCACCCAATCCTCACCGGTTTCATACATGTAGCCCTGCTGAGAATTGACCATGGAGAAAAGCATCAGCAGGCACAGAGCCTTCAGAACATGTGCTGAAGTCATCCTGAAGTGAAACTCTGTGGAAGCTCTCAACGCTTCCTCGGTTTTTAAGGCTCTTTGGGATGTGCTGTCCAGATGTTCTATGTCCGGATCCAGCGGTGATAATTTTCAAAATGAGCAGACAGTTATGGTCAGGGATTGAATGTTTCAAGCCTCCTCCCAAACTCTGCTGTAGACCCTGAGCTGTTTTAAAGTTGTAAAATCGTACTTTATGGCCAAATGATGGTAAAACCAAATTATGTTTTTTTTCCCCAAACTATTATTCGTTGTGTCAAACAGTGTGATGGAATGAGGAACTTTTCCATTAAATTTGGACTAAGAAAATTAGTTATTTTCAATGATATATATTGTAAAAAGTAAATATATGGATAGCTTACCCAAATAACTATTTCTGATCTGAATCTTAAAGAATTACTTCATTATAGGCTATAACCAAATTTATTCAGATTCATGTATCATTTTAAATAATATATTTGACCAGGTAATTTAATTAAGGCATTAGCGCATTTTATAATTTTTTTAACAAAATTTATTTCACACTCACATAGGGTTACCACAACTGTAACAATATGGTTACAACCATAGGGTTACAGTTACAAAATTGAATTGAGAATTATCTTCGCCCAACCTGAACCCGAGTGGTGTTCAGTTATTGGACTTCTGTGCTAGTTACAGTTTGTCCATAACGAACACCATGTTCAAGCATAAGGGTGTCCACCAGTGCACGTGGCACCAGGACACCCTAGGGCGTAGGTCGATGATCGACTTTGTGGTCGTTTCATCTGACCTGCGGCCGTATGTCTTGGACACTCGGGTGAAGAGAGGGGCGGAGCTGTCAACTGATCACCACCTGGTGGTGAGTTGGATCCGATGGCGGGGGAGGAGGCTGGACAGACTCAGCAGACCCAAGTGTACTGTAAGGATTTGCTGGGAATGTTTGGCCGAATCTCCTGTCAGAGAGATCTTCAACTCTCACCTCCGGCAGAGCTACGACCAGATCCCGAGGGAGGCTGGAGATATTGAGTCTGAGTGGACCATGTTCTCCACCTCCATTGTCGAAGCGGCTGCTCGGAGCTGTGGCCGTAAGGTCTCCGGTGCCTGTCGAGGCGGCAATCCCCGAAGTAAAGGACGCTGTCAAGCTGAAGAAGGAGTCCTATTGGGCCTGGTTGGCTTGTGGGACTCCGGAGGCAGCTGACAGGTACCGGCAGGCCAAGTGGACATGCAGCCCGGGTGGTTGTGGGGGAAAAAACTCGGGCCTGGGAGGAGTTCGGTGAGGCCATGGAGAAGGACTATCGGCTGGCCTCGAAGAGATTCTGGCAAACTGTCCGGCGCCTCAGGAGAGGGAAACAGTCTCCTACCAATGCTGTTTACAGTAGGGGTGGGCGGCTTTTGACCTCAACTGGGGATGTTGTCGGATGGTGGAAGGAATACTTCGAGGATCTCCTCAATCCCGCCGTCACGCCTTCCATTAAGGAAGCAGAGGTTAAGGGCTCAGAGGTGGACTCGTCCATCACCCTAGCTGAGGTCACCGAGGTAGTCAAGAAACTCCTCGGTGGCAAGGCACTGGGGGTTGATGAGATCCACCCTGAATACCTCAAGTCTCTGGATGTTGTGGCGCTGTCTTGGTTGACGCCTCTGCAGCATCGCGTGGCAGTTGGGGACAGTGCCTCTGGGATGGCAGACCGGGGTGGTGGTTCCTCTTTTTAAGAAGGGGGACTGGAGGGTGTGTTTCAACTACAGGGGGATCACACTTCTCAGCCTCCCTGGGAAAGTCTATGCCAGGGTACTGGAGAGGAGAATACGGCCGATAGTGGAACCTCAGATCCAGGAGGAACAGTGTGGTTTTCGTCCGGGCCGTGGAACACTGGACTAGCTCTATACTCTCTACAGGGTGCTGGAGGGTTCATGGGAGTTTGCCCAACCAGTCCACATGTGTTTTGTGGATTTGGAGAAGGCATTCAACTGTGTCCCCCGAGGCGGCCTGTGAAGGGTGCTCCGGGAATACGGGGTCCGGGGTCCTTTGCTAAGGGCTGTCCGGTCCCTGTATGACCGAAGCAGGAGCTTGGTTCGCATTGCCGGTAATAAGTCAGACTTCTTCTCAGTGCATGTTGGACTCCGGCAGGGCTGCCCTTTGTCGCCGGTTCTGTTCATAATTTTTATGGACAGAATTTCTAGGCGCAGCCAGGGGCCAGAGGGTGTCAGGTTTGGGGACCACATGATTTCGTCTCTGCTCTTTGCGGATGATGTTGCCGTGTTGGCCCCTTCACACCAGGACCTTCAGCATGCACTGGGAGGGTTTGCAGCCAAGTGTGAAGCGGCTGGGATGAGAATCAGCACCTCCAAATCCGAGGCCATGGTCCTCAGTCGGAAAAGGGTGGCTTGCTCACTTCAGGTTGGTGGAGAAGCTCGGTCACTCGGGAGGAGCTCAGAGTAGAGCCGCTGCTCCTCCACATCGAGAGGGGTCAGCTGAGGTGGCTCGGGCATCTGTTCCGGATGCCTCCTGGACGCCTCCCCGGGGAGGTGTTCCGGGCACCTCCCACTGGGCGGAGGCCCCGGGGAAGACCTAGGACACGCTGGAGAGACTATGTCTCCCGGCTGGCCTGGGAACGCCTCAGTGTCCCCCCAGAAGAGCTGGAGGAAGTGTCTAGTGAGAGGGAAGTCTGGCCATCTCTTAGACTGCTGCCCCCGCGACCCGGACCCGGACCCGGACCATTTTCCAAACTGCTTGTCATAGGTTCGCAAGGATCCTGAAGATTATCCCAGGGTCTTGCGGCATAGTTAGGGAAATGCCCTGGACAGGATGACCAGTACTTATATACATATACCCAGTTCTGGTTGCACTTTATTTTAAGGTGTCTTAATAACATAGTAATTGTGTACTCGTGTAATATTAGATCAGTCTCTGAAGCATCCGAAAGAAGCAGCCAGTGGATCTGGATTAAGAGGAAGGATCCCTGTTGGGCTCAAAGAGCATCAACGTGACCCACTCACTAATCCCCCCACCCTATAACCCCCTTGGGAACCCAGGTCACAACCCTCCATGAGGAGGCTGAAGGTATGCGGTCAGCCTTATGCTTGACTCAGGGAAGAGGACGCCTCCTGCCTTGCATAGTCCTAATTTTTATGATTGGGCATGGGACACAAGCTCAGGTTTGATCACCCAGTAGCTGGCCACCTTTGATGAGGGTGTCTAGTGTTGAAAGGCCGAAAAAACCCCTGATTCAAAGGCACATTACTGATGATGTGTCCCGAAATTTAAATCTTTCCCATGGCTGAAGAACAGATCCCACGCCACTCTCAACATCAAGGCAAAACTCATGTGCATACCACCTATTGGCACAATGGACAGTTTTCCATCACGTCCCGTGTTTATGATTCTCATTTAACAACAGAGTGTAAAGATTAGGATTAGGGTTTAGTTCAGTTTAGTTGTATATAATTACATATGTGTAATGTGTAACAAAGATACCACTAAAGAAAGTGTTTGGGAACACTTTATAATAACTGCTCACTATTAATCATTAGTTAAGCATTAGTAGACATTAACAAGCAGTTTATAAATACAGCTATAAATGCTTTATTCTTGATTTATAAACATGTATTTAATAATTGTACTTGATCAATTTATCATTTCTAAATGAAGTATTATTTTACAAACCAGTTATTTAAGAGTTTCCAGTGGTTCTTAAGATCACTTAGAACGTGTAAGTAAATGATTCATAAATTGTCCTCACTTTCGGTGAGCTCACATTACATGAACTCACAAAAAAAGTTAACTGACCACTACTAAATGCCTTATATGAAATAAATTATAGCAAGAATGCATGTTAATAAAGCATTTATTAACACACTAAGTAACTATTACTATATGTCTGAAAAATAAGATGCATGAATGTAGATTTAAATAGTTTATTAATGATTTACTTAGGCCTACACTTTCTAAATTTCTCTTTTTTACTCTGCACGTTCTTATGAACCACTGACAACTTCTAAATAACTGGTTTGTAAATAATGCAATACTTCATTTAGAAATAATAAAGAATGAAAATACAATTATTAAACACATTATAGATATGCTTTGAAATCTGCGAATAAATGTATATTAATGCTTTATAAATGATTAATGAACTGTTTACTATAATGCTTAATAGTGTGCAGTTATTTAAAAAAAAAAATCACCACGTGTTTTTAGAGCTGTTTTTAAAGTCAATTTTATAGAGCTGGGCAATAATATAGTTTACATTTGGCATCTAAATAAACAATCACGCAGCAGACATTTGCTATGTAGTACAGGATTGCTGCAAAAAAATAACCGTGATTTTAACAGTAAAATACTACAGTTCAAAACTGTAAAAATGCTGTAAAAATTTTAACTGTAAAAATGCTACAGTGCAAAACTGTTAATTGGCAAACAGAAAGCTTCCATACTATACACGGTAAATAACTGTGATATAATTTTACAGTAAAATACCGTTAAATTTACAGTTTTTGAAAGTGAAAAAGAACAAATCATTGTATAATATACAGTGAAAAACTGTAAATTGACATTCCTACAATTCCCTGTGTGACACTTCACATTTTATGTATTTTTGTTGAAATAACTGTGGTTCCTCATAGTTTTATTGTTTATTTTTAATCAGTTATGTACATTAGGGTTTTATAAAGTTGTATATCATGAATATGATTTAAATATTTTATCAGTCCTTAAAGTATAAGTAAGAATTGCAGGTTATAGGTTTTAGGTTATCTAGCAAAACACTTATACAAAGTATGCTCATATTAAATAGCAATAACCCTTCAGAATGGGGAATACTGGAAGTGACATACCTCACAAGTTACTCAAGGTCACTAATATCAGAGGAACTTTTTTCAGCTCAGTCGACTGCAGAGCAGTCCAGTTCATCCTCTCCTTATTTTAAAATCCAACATAGTGAAAAGTAAGTATTATTTAGTAACAATAAAGTAATATTTAGTGACAATAAAAACAGATTATTTAGTATGTCAGGCCACATCAGTTGCTGTAAGCCTTTGATCCCCTAAAACTTTATCTAAGAGATAAGTCTTGGGCACAATCTTGTAAAACACAAACATGTATCTCTGGAGCTCAGA